ATGGTTGGGGTAAATGTGCTGGACTAAGCTTTGGAGATGTAGGTTCAGTTCCCAGTTCTGATACTGATTTCCTGTCTACCAAGGGCCATTCGTTTTGGGCTTGTTCCAGAGTCTGTTGAAGATAATGGAAGGGCTTCCATGAGCTTTGCATCAGGCTGTATATCCCTCTTTGAAATGGGGATAGTAACAATACCTTTCTTCCACCTTTTAATACCTCTTGTTTATTTAGAATTATTAGCTCATTACAGCATGCACTTTTTCAGGCTACATATAATTGTAGCAAGAAATATTTCTGTTGTATTTTTAATGTGGCATACTATTTAAGAGAGGCAGAGTGGTAGCTCTTCCAGCTCACTTGAAAATTATTTTGTTTTCCAGATGAAGATTCTGATTCATCCTATCCTCATTATTCCTTTTCTGAAGATAGTAAGTAACTTACATTTCATGTTTTGGGTTTAGTCTGCCTGCCCGGTCACAAGTATCAACTGCTGTTGTTGTTGCCCCCCTACCAAAGTTACTAAGATTTTTATATATGCCTTTTTTGCAGCAAGAACCCAACCCTCAGTACCTCGGTCCAAGAGTGCAATGGACAACATTGACACTGAGAAGGTCATTAGGAGATCTGCTACTCTGCCACTGCCAACTCGCACGTCATCGTTAAAATCCAGCCTCGAAAGGTAATCCAGATGAAAAGTCCTTAGGTTTGTGCTGGAGATACCATGAAAGGGTCTGATATAGCGGGGAATGGAGATAGAAAGTTTGGAGCTGAACTTCCCCAGCATTCAGGGTGGTTTGGATTTCAGGTTAGCCCAGGAGTTGCTCTAATTCAGGAGTGGGTAATCATTTTGGGTGGAGGGCTGTTTACCAATTTTTGGCAAACCATCGAGGGCCACATGGGTAGCCTCACCCCTTGACAGGTGCCCTCCCCCCTGGTCACCATCTTGTGACCAGACATCCTGCCCCCTAACCCCTGATCTTTGCCACCAGAAGTCCCTCCCCTTGCCCCCAGAAATATTCCTTTCAGCAAGAGGTTTTGACAGGGATCCAGGAGCAAATAAATATAAACTTTCTAAATTTTTTAGGGGCCCTGCAGGCCAGATAGAATGGCCCGGCAGGCTGCATCTGACCCACAGGCCATATTTTGCTTGCCACTGATCTAATTTCTCCAGTAGGCTTTGAAACTGTAATTTGTTCCTTCATCTTGCCAACCTATCTGTCTCTGTTGGGTCCACCAGTCATATCTTGTCATCACACATGTGAGACAAGGACTCTTTTGGGTACATGTCTGTATAGTGCTTAGCACAGCAGGACCCTGATCCTTGATTTGCAGTTCCTAGCTGCTATACTATAATATTAATGATTATCCAGAGTTTCTCTAAGGTTTCAGGTCATGCAGAGCAGAGCTGGATATTCCTTGAAAAATGTACTTCTAGAGCCAGCCAGTCCTTAGAAGTACAGAGACAGATAACAATGAAAAGGATATAGCTATACTATGTAATAGCTGGGACACTAGATGGGAGCAAAACAGACCTGTATTGCATTTTCTTTTGTAACATTCACCTGTTGTGTGACCTCAGGTAAGCCACTTAACATCTTAGGGCTGCTTGCAGATGTTAAAAAAAAGGACACAAAAAACAAAGAAACCAAAAATGGTGCTGTACTTTATTCCATGTGCTCCTGCACGGAGCCCAGTGCATACACAGAAGAGGCAGTGCCTTAGTTGGACCAACCTTGCCCAATGTCTGTATAGATTGAGTGCTTTACTGGGGCCTTTTTGGCACTTGTATCTAATAGCTGATTGAATTAACTTGAGATAAAAGTGCCAGAAAGCCCCACTGAAGTGCCTGGTCTATACAGATGCTGCAGAGCCGGGTTGAAGTAACATGCTGCTTTTTCCTGTAAAGTGCAGGTTTGTTTGGGTTTTTTGGGGGGGGAGGGGGTGGGTCTAAAGTCTGTAAGCAGCCCTTATGTCTTGTCCTATCCTTGTCTGTCTTGTCCAGTTTTTTTAAGCTCTCTCTAGGTCAAGGGCTGTTTGCTACTATTTGTTTAGTGCAGCCCTGAACACAAGGAGCCCCCAGTTTCAGATTGAGGTATTGAAGACTCTACCATACTACACATAAATACTAATGACAACATCAATAACATAAAATATTTATGGGGTATTTAATCAACTTTAGGTCATAGGAATGGTTTTTGGAAGATAGGTCTTGTTATCTCATCACTTGGAGACCAACTCATTGTGAAGTCATTGGGAGTTGTCTATTGACTTTAATGGAAATTGTGGCAGGTCCTAGTTAACATTAGATACAATATCATTCTTAACTAAGATCACTTAGTTCTTAATTTTTCTCTCCTGATTTTTAAACTATATGTTTTAAAGCTAATTGTAATAACGATTCATGTTTCTAGAAAGCAGAGGATGAGGGGAAAGAAGAGTAGACATTAAATATTTTTTGCCACAGTGAATTCAACCAGAATTAAAACCTTCTGTTTCCATCTTCTTTTACTGGCTTGCACTTTCTCCTTTAAATGAGCAATTATATTTTCCAAGGGTGCCAACATAGCAAGACCCTAAGGTGGGGGTGGGCAATTATTTTGGGCAGAGAGCCGCTTACCGAGTTTTGGCAAGCCATCAAGGGCCACAAGAGTAGCCCCAGGACCATCTTGAGACCAGAAGTCCCACCCCCTAACCCTTGACCTTTGCCTCCAGAAGTCCCTCCCCTTGCCCCCCCCCAAGTACTCCTTTCAGCAAGGGTTTGCAATCTTGAAACCAGAAAAATGCCAAATTATATTCTCAAAATCAAACATCCACTACAACATTCATTAATTTGACTTCAAAAAATATTTTTGTCCTGATTTACATGTGTTTGTGTACTGTATGCAAAGGTGATTGTATACTAGCTTAAAATGAAGCTTGTATATTGTGGGTAGGTGTGGGGGGTGGGTATAGGTTTGCAGTATGTGGGGTGTAGGGGAGGGTGTGGGTTTTGTGGGGCGGTGGATAGGCATGGGGGGTGTATGTGGGGCGAGGGAGCATGTGGTTGTATATGGTATGGGTGGGTAAGGGATTTGTGGGGGGCTGTGAGTGTGTTGGGGAGGGTGAATGGGAAGGATTGTGGCATGTGTGGAGGGGGAGGGTTTGCCCACAGCCCCCCACAGCAGACAGAACCCCTGCCAGAGCTCCTCCAAGCCCAGGCTCCGTGCTTCTGCCACACTTGGCCCCGGGGCACCAACATGGGCTCTGTACTCCTGGTCACCACCACTCTCCATCCCCAATCT